GTAGTACACTACTAATTAGGTTGCTGAAAACTCCTTAACAGTCCACAATCAGTTTCGACCTTCTTGGGGCTCACCGGATGGGCGCAGTCCCCCAGTTTCCGTCAACCTTATGTTCTACTTGAAACCAAATTGCACGAAACTAGCGAGATACACTTATTTGTACACTAATTTGGCTTTGCGAGAGACTCATCTGGAATCCAGCTGAATCTTTCGTTCATGAAGTTTATCGTTCAAGGGATCAAGTGGAACATGAGGTTGGCGGAAACTCGGGGACAGCGCCTACCCGATGAGCCCCAGCAATGGCGAAACCGGTCGTGGGTTGTCAAAGAATTTTAAGCAACCTTATGAGTAGTGCATTAAGTCAATGCATATATCGCGATATATTGAATATCGTACCAACTGAAGCATGAGGGGGCCTGGTGCAGCACATTCAGTTACCTGGAAACATCACAAACGAGAGATTCAGCTGGGTCTCAGGTGATTATGTCGAAAAACCAAATTTGTTTGCAAGCCTCAGCTACCTTGAGGAAACTGATCTCAAGATCGAAGGATAACGTCATTTATGAAATCACCTGCACGGACTGCAACCTTTTTTGGACAGTGGGAAATCGAGCTATTCACAGGGGTAATGGAACACAACCCGTTCTCTCTTATTTCCAAATGTGGAGATAAGGCGGAACAGAGGTTTAAGCTGGAAAACGTTAAGAACGCGAGGGTAAAAGGTGCAAGAGGCAATTCCAAGAGTCGTGGTACGCCACAATTGGTTCAGTTAACCGGCGTATCGAAATTAATTCTGTGTACGCACCATGACGATCGACGAACCTCCTTAGCCATCAAACCAACTGACCAAGAAACAAGACTTACTGTGGGAAGAATGATCGAATTTCGAGGCGACGGATGAGAGAGCTCGAGTGGCAAGGCTACTTGACACACACCAGGCCTACCAACAAGCCAATGAGAATACTTATTCGGGTGAGCAATGATCCGTCAAGGTCGACCTGGTGCAGAGTAGACCCTGTATCAATCCACACACGCAATTCCAACGGCAACTGAGTTCCACTCACAAGGCACCGATGTAACGTCCACCTCAGCAAACAAATCAACGATCAAACATAACCAAGCAGTGATCGGTCAAGGTCGATCTGGCGCAGAGTAGACCCTGCATCAATCCACACACGCAATTCCAACCGCAAATGAGTTCCACTCACAAAGCACCGATGTAACGTCCACCTCAGCAAACAAATCAACGATCAAACATAACCAGCCGAAGAGTTTTCGTTGCAATTCAGTATTGTTATCAGTATGATGGAATAAGTCCGGTTTTGGCCGAGAATATCAGAGGAAGTGACGTTACGACGTGTGGTAAGGATAAACACATCTGAGAGGACTTGGAGGTGTCGTTTAAGAAATTCATGGTATGCTCAAGGGATCCGCTACATCTGTTGGCTTGAATAGTACATAATTAATGAAGAAGACCCGAAAGCATTGTGTCAAAATTTTTTCCCGTTTATACAAGCTGTATGTGTTTCTGTTAGGCTATCCTAACCGATTCTGAAAGTCCATATGAGCAAGGTTTTCACTCCTACTTAGGTGATAAGAGACAATGATACAAGTAGTAATGCGGTAAGAGATAAACAGGTGAGAGAACATGTTAGCGGTATTAGCGAAGGAGGGATTAAACCGGTTCAATTAATCTAATTGCTGTGTTCCTTCGCCTCCATCGACCACCCATGATTCAAGCGAAATTGCGAAGGAGAGTATTCATCAAACAGAAAGCAGGAAAATATGAACTTGAGGATTGCTACCAGCTAATTTCTAATACATTAGTTCTATGGCGTTTCTGTGAGATGATGTGACATGATGTTCTGACAAAATCGCACAGGATTCAGTCATGCACATGGCCAAACGGCTTAACCAATCAAAAGTCACACGCAAGGTCATTTCAGGCTGGTGAGTGTGGGTTTCTCAGCTGATGGAACGTACAGGCCGAGTGAACGAGGCCCACAAGTCCATAAATAAATCAAGTAATGTCGTTGTGATTTTTCGATCAGTGTGATGATTATTCAGTCCCAAATCACACAAAGCAAGTTTGAAGAGGTCGTCAAATTATTAGCCTCACAAAGCAACTGATATGCTGTAAAAATACAAAACATATCGACACGGTTCTTGTTTTGCTGAATCAATTAATCATTACTGTGGCACGCGGTCGTTAGTTCTCAAGGATACTGGGGGCTTATGATACTTTCTGTTTCTCATCCATAATTCATTGCAAAATAACGTGCGTAGTCTTTAATTACGCTGAGGCACGCTAGCGTTTGCTGGTAAGGGCGATGCATACCATTCACACGGCCGAAATCATCGCTTTATTCGATATGAAATAAGAATAAATAGCCACGAAAATAGCGGTGTGCTTATTTGACGTCTTCTCCGACAAGAATGCGCGGCCTTTTTTGAATGAAAGATAATAAGAGTTGTACAAGATGATGATCGCCCCTTGTTAGGGTATTCATTCCACTTGAAAGAGAAAAAAGAAACTCAAACGAGGGAAGTTTTAGATAGGCGTCATCTTTTCACATTCAGTATTTCGTCAACTGTTTCCGTAACCGAGGCTGTGTAGGTATGTCAAATCGAAATTGCGAGGTTACTTTTTCGTAATGATCGACAAAAATGGGCAATCCGTAGACTACATCTAACAGGTCATGTCAGACTAATACAGTGAATTCACCTCAGAATTATGCGGTTCAACTGACATTGGTTTACGCTTTATAGAGGTAAGATCATGTGAGTCCGGCTGACTAGTGTTAGACTTTTTTGTTACGTCATCCAGAAGAGAAGACAAGGCGTCAAATTAGTCTAGGAAAACAGTCGGCTTGGGGTGCTTGGAATGAGTACACCATCACCAAAACTTTCATGACACAATAGTCCTACAAAAAGTAAGCTTTGATAGTTTTTGTGGAAGAATCTTTTGTCACACCTGTTTCATCAGTCGTATCGGAGCCACAGCAACTGCCTATTAGGCGGAATTCCACACGGATCCCACACTAGCGCTCGCATTCACGTGCTGCTACGGCCGAGAACTCCATCCCACGCAAGACTGGCCGAAAATTTGGGACGCTTGCCGGTCCGGCATCAAGCCAAGATCTGATTGGTCGAAAGTTTGGACCCAACAGCTAATCATGACCTAGTATTGGCTGAATGCCGGTAGCCAATGGCGCATCCAGAACGCGTCAGAATCTCCAGAAATTTATTGCCCTCATTCGAAATCATGCCAAGAACAGTTCTAGTCTGATGAGATGAATCCCAAAGTATGTAAAGATTTTGGTATGGAAACACGCGTCTAAAGACCAACAACCGAAGAAAGGACAAATATTGTTGATTGCTCTTCAAGACGCGGTAGGCGCTAGCACAGTCAAGACTCGCTGTACAAGTGCTCCTGGCTTCACTTTTGGCGTTAATATACCTTGTGCACCTTTGGTGGTTGTTTTTTGACGTAAACGCCAGCTTGGGAGGTTCAGACCGAGAACTAAGGTGAAAAAATACGGTTAGTACACCACCTTGTTGCATGTTCTGCGAAAAGGTCTCCGGCGAAATTCTGTGAACTGAGTTGTCAGCAATGGGCAAAACCAATTTTTCGTTATTTCATCTACAGAGACAGGAAGCCTTTGTTCCACATTGGTACTAGGCAATAAATAGATCCAATTAGAAATGGCCAACCGGTGCAATCGAACGTTTGCAGTCCATAGGATGAAGCTCGTGTATAGCAACTGGTCAAACTGTTCACAAGTGAGTTGTCTTCTCCTCAATGATCACCCGGTAAATCCAGTTTTATTCCATAATTCCAGGCAAACCTTCAATGGTACTGAGAACAACGACGTCAGTTTTCAGGGATATCATTGCAGGCAGTGTAGAATTAACTCACTAGCTCACTTGTCCTGGTTACGTAAAACATCCATGAGACATTCTTACTCAATGCTGTCCCGTTTTTGTAAGCTGCACACCTACCTAGAATTTTTAGTTAAAAAAACCAACTAAGCATGGCTGTTCATTACTGATGGCGCAGTGGCTAAGGCGCAAACTTACTGACCAAAAGGTCCGTGGTTCGAACCCAACCCGAACATCTCGCCGTCTCCTGATTAAGCTTGAGAGACCCGGCAGTATCCCGGCCCTCATGCCTACTTTTGGTAGTATGGAAGCTAGGTACCGAAAAGGTTATCACTATTGACACCCAGGTATCCAGCGCGATTCGAAACTGCATCTGGTTACTCAATTCACTGTTTTAATGAAAGTGTTTGCAACCCCGTATTTTTAAATTTTTCGACTTCGCAAAAAACCGCGATACGTCCTTCGAATGCTTCAACAGATCGGTGAAACTCAAGTTCGAATGAGTCTTCTCGATGCACTGAAGCTAGATATTAGCACGGAGAACTTCGCTGACCCCAAATTCAACACCGCGTGTCCAAAATTACGACCACAGAGGCTTAAATCTAACCGTCGCACCAAGTTCAAAGGCCATTTTCCTCACCTTGTTATCGTCAAAAGTGCATACTGCCTTTGTCCCCTTTTTTGGTCAACGCTCTGACCTTCTAGGTAGACGAAAGCGGATGGTCGAACTCATGTTTACTTCTCGTCATTTGTGGAAGTCGTCGACAGTGAGCCTCTCAAGAACCTCGAGAGAGATTCGGAATCAAACTCACTGATTTCATGAACTCTCGATTGAGGAAGTCGTAACCTATGGCCAAGAGTCGATATTCGATCACCGAACCACGTGAGAGAACAACCATGGTACTATACGTCGACTGAGAGAGCTGGTCAGTCACTGATCAGTTACTCAATGGCCAAATGGCTAAGTAGTCATCTTCCTGGAAGTTGGTGAAGCGCTGGAGACAACTGTCCAACACTCATCGGACCCCACTAGAAAGATGAAATATTGGTCAAAAAGTGCTCACGACTTGCTCCATTCGGTTTATTTTCTGACAGAACTAGTAATCACAACCTTGAAGTGTGTTTTGTTCAGTGTTTACTGAACACCACGCCCCGTCAAAGTTTTCGGCCATCGCCAATGATCATTTTCAGTCTTAATCCTCAAACTTACTCAGTCTCGTTAACATCCTCAGCGCAGGGCGACCCTGGTCTACTGTTTAATGCCAGATATTAGTTAGCACCTCTGACGAAATACCACTCGGTGGTGTACTTGGTGCAGTTGTCTAAAAATTTGACAAGCTGACGAACGAATCAGTCATTATTTCGTGAATAGATTTTATTCTTTTCGAGAAGACCTCTTACGGGACTTATTTCATTCTGTACATGGTGTTAGGGGCGTGAGGTCTCAGTGGTTAGAACGCGAATTTACTGACCGGAAGGTTCGTAGTTCGAACCCGACCTCTGCCTCTTGAATCCCCCCGTCTAGCCTTGGGCCACCTGGAAGTATCCCAGCCCCCGTGCTTCCTTCTGCTGGCATGGCAGCTCGGCACCAAAAGGGTGCTACAGCTGAACGACTATGCTGCTAGGTACGTGGTTCTTCCTTGTGGAAAGGCAGCAATGTATGTGGGGAAGAACCGCACATAGTAACCCCCGCCTCCGTATATGGGGTATCTGGCAATAAAACACTTCGTTTTTGGGGACATCTTTTTAGGCTCACAGTTGCTTTTCACTTCAGGCATAGTATTTCCAGTGAAGGAAGTCCTTTCTGCATTTGAAACTGTTCATTTTGAGGTCTCTCCAAAATCTGGCCACAAGAACTTTTACTCCATCTTCATCCCACGTCAGGCAGGAACAAAACAACATCAAGCAACTGTTGCATTCGAAGTTTGACAGTACAAAATCTTCACGAAGTTTGGAAGAATACTCTTGTCCAAAGTACTCAAATATCGTCATTCCATCGGTCGTTCAGTCCAACGAACACAACTTCTGGGATTCGTACTCACAAACTGACTTTTGGAACAGGCTGTCAGAAGCAATCACACGGTATCTGGGACCAACACAAAAACGAAAAAAAGATGACAAACCAAGGTGGTTTTGTAGTAAACTTTCAGGCGTTTACCTCTTTTGATGTGAGGTATTGCGGGACGGTGAATTTTAACCCGAGAGTAAAGGAAGGTCGGGCTTTGATAGAATAACTTCCATGGTGTCTGCGACTACGAAGCCCCTGAGAAACGCTCGGAAAGAAACTGCAATTTGTTGGGTGCGGCATTAATCTCGCCTACCAGAGAAGAAATCAACTTCCACACACTGCAAACGATGACTTAAAATCCAAACCTACGCGTTCAGGCAAACAAAACTGATTAACCTTTGATAACATTTTCAAGGTGAGATGACGTTCCTTGCTTTGTATCGTTCAGGCTTCCGAATGGGCCACGCTGCTAAGTAAGGCACATTATGAAGAGGAAAAATCATTCAGCTGCAGCACCCTTCCGGTGCCCAGTTGCCATGCCACCCAAAGGAAGCATGAGGATGGTATGCTGCCAGGTAGCTCAAGCCCAGGCTGGGGAAGTCGAGGAGCAGAGTTCGGGTTCGAACCACGGACCTTCCGGTCAGTAAATTCGCGCTCTAACCAACAAGCTATCTCGAATAAAAAGGAACCAGATTCAAAATTCTTAATGTGTTTGCGGTCGAGAGGGAGACGTATAATTAGTCTCTAAATTCAGTAGTTGGTTGGTCCCCCAACTAGTCTGTAACTTCCGATACCCCATGAAAGTTAAGAAACCTTTTGGTTTTCTGCTCTTATCTGAGTTTGTTTCACGAAGCTTCACCGTGGATACTAACCATTGGAAACAGAACTGTTCAACTGGGAGGTCATGGGTTTGAGAATTTTTTCAGTCGAGCAGCCAGTCAACACACTAACCACGTGGGATGAATTCCCCTACTCAAAGGTGAGTGGCACCATGTTGCGCCTAAGGGCGAATCAATGGTTTGGCTTCCAACTACCCACGCAAAGGTAGCGGGTTCGAGTCACCGTGGAGTTTCACAAAGTGTACACTGCTGCTGGTGCGTCAATCACCGAGCAAGGATGAAACAGCTGTACAGTGCTTCTCGGCTTTTCAGCATACAGTGGCTCAACTTGACTAAAATCGCCAGTTTCCTTGGACAACCCACAATACTACCAAGTCTATGTGGTATACCTCGGACGTAGTCTTTTCATAAATTAGTCAAGATATTGCCCTGTTTATATTCCTGTGTCTCAGTAGTCCATTAATGGATGTCCAGCTGTTCTTTATCGATTGAGCGATGTTCAGTGCCACTGTTATCACACGGTAAAGCGCACAACACTGGTTTCCCGTTCACAACAAGCCGTCTGTTGACAAACCACAGATTTCCCCATTATTACGCAATTTCTCCCTGTAACTTTCATTCTTCAAAATACACGGAATTCGAGCATCAGTTCGCATCACATGATGGTGAACGATTCCCTGTCACCAAGTTCCAACTCCCCCCCGTCAACGACATAAATGATTGATTCCGTGACTAGAACGTCTAGTTAGGGGAGGTTCGTCCTACAGCAGCCAGTAAACCAACGGATTTGAGCATTATAGCGGTTGCCTCAGTCACTGGTGATCACTGAAAAAGTAAACCGTTTGTAACTAAGCTATGCTGATCACGGTAGTCAGTAGCTCACATGTTGCGAACCCATTCCTTTCAAGTTCTTTAAACGTGACCACTTGGACTGACTACGATGCGCACAGTAGTTGAGGGTTGCTCAGCACACCCGTTGCGTTAACGGACAGTTTGCATGCGAGTTAGAGGTGTTCATTGGTTGGTGGAACTTGTAGATCAATACCTCTGATCGTCTGAAACACGTGATCTGGCGAATATCGTGTCAAATATAGGCCGATGAAATCTGATTTGCTACGAAGTGGGGAATTTGTCCAGGGACAGATCGTGAATAAGATCAGTTCAACTAACATCTAGGACTAGGCTTCGCTGATGCCGAGCACTGGACGGACGGTAGTCAACCGCAGCATGCCTTATTCCAGATCCCTTGTTAGACTATAGCTCCAAGATCACCCGGAAATTTCACAACGGCGTGACTTCCTTAAACTATTGGGTTTACGCCAACCACACACTATCCGGAGTTCGGCTTCCTCAAGACATCATGATACGAAATATTAATAATACCAATGAAAGAAGGCCTTCGCTGCGGAGTTATTT